GTGTCCGCATGCGACCAGGCTGTCCACGATTATGGACCCCAGATCGGATTTATGCAAATGTGTCTATTGTCGATACGTTGTCCACGATTAGGGACCAGGATTCGATTGTGCAAAACGTGTCTATTGTCGACTAGTTGTCCACGATTTAGGGACCCAGATTCGATTGTGCAAACTGTCTATTGTTTCGACTAGTTGTCCACGATTAGTTGGACCAGGAATTCGATTGTTAGATTTGTTGCAATGTGTTATCTCTCCGTGTTGTGTGATGAACGTAGACGATTCTAAGATGCCTAATGTCCCTCGATTGTCATATTTGTTGTGCTGATCTCATTAGTTGCTACCCGATCTCCGCAGACCAGAGGGTTGTGTTCGGAGGTCTTACTAGAAGGCACGGGCGGAAACATGAGGAGGGCCTTCCACACACGGCCTCCCCGCCCCTACCTACTGCAGAGTAGGTTAGTGGAGAACCTACGTCGCTCCCGCCTGCAGCCTCCTTGACGCGGCGAGTACAAATGTGTACCAGTGTTGTTGGTGTGGTGTGTTTGTGTGTTGTCCAAATTGCGGAATTGTCGGGGTCCTTCCGTCGCGACCATTGTCAATACCAATGACATTAAGTTTGAAACCCGCGAATTAAATATTTATCAATAGTCACTTACCGTACTGTCCCTTTATCACGTAAATCCGTAGTTTCGCTCACAAGTTTCACGTGGTTTCCACTACTACTTCTTTCCGTATACCTTTATGTTTGTATAATCCCAAATTTCTCAGTTTATTTGATTTAACCTGCTCCGTATACTTAATTGGGACTTGACATTTTGCTTAGAGGGTTACATGCGCGACTTATATGCACCCCATGCGCGGGTTGTGGAACAAGACGTCACGCCGTTTCCTTCAAAGTGAAGGAGGACATTTTTGCCGTCTCTCCCTCGTCGTCTACCTCAAATTATGGCCAGTACCCACTGATTGCAATCCACAGGTTTCACATTTTACTGTCTTAATTGACGTTGAAGCTGTGAAACTACAGGTAAAAGTTATTACATGAAAAGAACGGATTTTGATACCTGGTAAAATCCTCAACATACTAAGTAACAGATCTAAAATGACAAGCGGGTAAGCCTAGTCTAACACCGACATTACACGGGACTACTTTAATGGAGGGAGAAGGAGTATCGTCATCCGGTAGTGTCTTACTCAATTTTGGTCCTGTCTGATGAAACCTCTGCACCTGACTGTAACAAATACTTATAAAAGTTCTACGCTTTCCTATTGGGTGTGCAGCTTTCCTCATTCCTATTTTGTACCCCGTGTAACGGGAGGGTTTGTTTCCTTATAAACTTCCTTTTTAAGTTCTCTCCTGCTGTAATAAAGCCACTTATAATTATTACCAATTCCACTCAGGTCGTGTTGTTCCCTTTGGTACCCCTAGCCCAATAGGGAACGTAACAATAACCAATAGCTCACACTATATACGCTGACATCACCCTCAGCCATGCTTGCTCAAACCATGCATGCACTTTGTTCTGTATGAATGTTCTCCTGAGAGGACAATGTTTTATGATCACCTCTTCTCTACAATGCTGGGGTTGGCAGTGACCATGTGCGTCTTGGTTCCCACATCTTCCACATAATCCTTTGAAAGCGGCGGCAGGTTGCACCTGAGTGAACAAAACACAGCCAGTTTATTATTCATTTTATTTTTGTACACACTCCACGTACAAAATGCACTGACAGAATAAACAATTACAGGATTCCTCGAGGTCATTTCCGTGATTATCTGATCTGATTACGCTATCAAACAGACAGTTTCAATGGTAGTGTGTGTGTGTGTGTGTGTGTTTACAGCAGGTGTTAAAGTAATGGGAGCTATTATAATTCAACTAAAAGCGAGAACAGCTAAAGAGACATTAGATGCTGTAAGTATTTGGCAATCTGTAGATTTTTTTCTTGATTAATCTTATAAATAAAATCTGTTATAGAAATATAAAATAGTAGAAAAACAGTGCAATATGTCAAGCAGCGTATCCCACAACCGCCAAAATGTCTTGTTTTGTGGATTTGCTGCTATACAATATGTTATTCCAAAAGTCCATTTCAGACTCAATGTATCACATACTTAAGCCCCAAATAGACTGTTGTGTTCATAGATGGCTTGGTACTTACATTACATTGGGTATATTGTAAATGTTTATCTGTTATCTAAACAAAGCAATTTTATAAGGGAAATAGCAGGACATACATTCTACTGTCTATTTTAGGACAAACCCACTCATAATTTGTAACACAGAGACACGTACTCAGCTTTTTGGGGCTGGTTGCAATCACGACCAATCACATCACTTCCTCTGATCTACTGACAGTCTGGTTATTTCCATAACTAAAGAGTCTGGAGGTGGCGTGTTTTTTCAGTTATAACATATGTGGACATATTTCATAGTTTATAGTTGTAGTGTCTTGATGTTTTGCAACAATATCACCACGTCCAAACTGGCAATACAAGAGGCTGTTTACTGTAAACATTCACATGGTTACATCAAGGGATATGTCCTAAAAAAATATGAAAAAAATGCTTAATATTATCATGAGAACAGACACTACATGGTGTGTAAGGCTTGGTTCTGAAGCAACTCTGGATTGCAACATGTGTTCAGGTCTTTTCTTGCAGCGTTCAACCTCTTCCTGCGCTTTGCTGAGAAGAACGTGACAGTTTTGAGGAAACCTTTTCTTAAATTTCACGCAACTGTGAATTTGTTTTGAATACCAAATTTTTGTTTTGGAATTTAACAAGCACTGTCAGTTTGACCAGTGAATATCAAAAGTTATCATTGAGCAGATGTACACAGGTGTTATTTGGAATCAGATAGGCTATGCAAAGTGACCGACATACTAGGTGCAGTCAAAGCTGCCCGTTTGAATATTACTGCATATATTTTGCATCTTGTGCATGCAGACATTTCTAAGCAACTATATTGTGAATCGACATTGATTGATATAAAAACCCATTGCTATATCAATCTTGGACCTAGTCATAGTAACTAGGTATGTTATTAAATTACAGTTTTCAGAGCCAAGAGGCTAATTGTCTCTTTGCTAATTATTCACTTAAAGTGAGCTGACAAAGAGGATGTTTAGATTATAATAAAAAGGGTCTTCTGTTTGAGCTGGAATCCGCACGACGTCATGCACTTTTTCCTTATGCTCAAGGTCTACATTTCAAAACATTAGCTCTCTCTTTAATCCGTTCAGCTTCAACAGTCTGGGTCAGTTGTCACGTCCTCAGAAGGAATACAAGCTCCATCAGAGGGGATTTCTTCCTTAATCAAAACCCATATAAATTCTCTTTGATCACTTGTTTTTAAAAGAAAAACACCTTTATCTCATATTAAAAATATGTCCCAATCCAGCAACCAGCATCTAGTTTTCAATGAGTGCTCTTCTGATGGATCTGCTCTGCTTTATGCCTCTCTGCTGCTGCCTCTCCTCTTCCTCCCTCGTCTCAGTCTGTCCCTATTTCTGCTTACTCACGTCCAACCTCCTTTTCCTCCTCCCTTTGCTGTGTCCTATTTTTCTTTCCAGGCCTTTCTCTCTCGGTTACAGTCGGCACCAGCTTTCATTATCACCATGGGCTGAGGGTGTTAGTCTGCTCTCATGGGCACGGCACACTCACATTTGAGCAGTGAAGCAGTCATATCGTTTGACCAGTGTGGAGGACTCATCTTTTTATTAGCAACCCCCCACTTTAAATGTTATTTTAGTATTTATTATTTACCTACCTTTATATTATTTTATAGGTCTTAAAGGTTATTATCTTATTTGATTGATCTAACATGCTTCAATAGAAATATTAATTTTTATAATGGTCTTTTTTCTTTCTTAATCGTTTAACCTTTATTAGAATTATGGCATTTTTATTACTATTATTTTTTAAATTGTATTTCTGTTGTACCTACATGTTCACTTTGTTTTATGGGGTTTTATGTTTTATATGTTATATTTTTGCATCGATTCAGTTGTCTTGTGTCTTATCTGTCAGAGAGAAACCATTATTTATTTGATTTGTATTATCATACATTTTACCTCTTTGTGTCTATTAACCTGATCAAATGTTATATTTTGATGCATGTACCTGTAAAGTTCTTAACAAATAATCTGAGGGGAATTTCTTGTTTTCTATTTTTAACTTGTGATGTGTCATTTTGTAAAGCATGTGTTGTATGAAAAGTGCTATATAAATAAAGCTTTATTATTATTATTATTATTATTATAATATACAATGCAGACTCATGCACTACCAGCCCCTTTGAGTCCCCTGGTCTCTCACCGCAGGACGAAGTCGGCCTGGTCGATGTCTCGTCCACATTTGCTGTTCCGGAGAATGCCACCATTGCCCACCACGCTGCACTTCTTCAGGGGCAGCTGCAGGGGGTTTTCCTGCACAGAGGGAAACATGCAGCTCTGTTAGCACACACAAAGAAACAGATATTCATTTTCACTCAACCTAGAAACCAAAATGGAGGCAGGTGCATGAGTGACCTTGTGTTCAGGAAAGAAAATGACCTTCTAATTTCCCTTAAGAGACTAAAGTGCTGAAGGACAAACAAGCCTGGATATATGAGTGAGGAAGTGGACAAGTAGAGGTCATACAACTTCATAAATCAGGTTCTGTCATGGCTTTTGCGTCAAGAGCAAAGTCTATATTATACATAGAATTATTGAATCAAAAATCTTAAACAAACATAGATGAATCAGCAAAATACAAGGATTAAATACCTAGCAAACGCATTTTCTCTAATGCCTGTAAACAGAAAACTTACTGGAACTTCAAAGTGCATCAGGCCAATAACTATAACATGTTAATGTGATCTTTGAAATTAATGTACCCACATTATTTCTCAGGGAAAACAAATGTCAAAGACCAGAAAACTAAATATGATTATATAATCTCTGCTCCTACTCTTCCATTTTAATCAAATTTGTGTTCTGGTAAATGTATTTTATTTTGTCTCTGCACAGTGTTTGTGCCCACAAAGCCCTCAGATGAACTCAAGAACCTCTTCATACCATATTTTAAATGTGAACAAAGTGGATATTTTTACAATATTTGCAATAAAAGTAATCCGTCAATGTTTTAGCTAGCTATTTGGAACTGTTGATTCATTTTAAAGATAGTTATTGTAACAGTTTTTCCATTGATTTTAACTAACTATCTGGAGCTGTTGTTACAAATGTGAATATATATTGTTTTAATCAATTTGTATTTTCTGTATACAGTAGAGCTACTCCACCATCTCTCCACTCTCTACACCCTAGCCACTGCAGAAGTAACTCCAGGGGTGGAAATCACAGCAGCCCTATCATCATCTAAATGAAAGCCTTGGATAGATTCGTATTAAAACTGTTCCTGAGAACGCTGAAATACCAAGCTCCACGAGGCATGGGCCACAAATGTCCCTTCTCTTTGACATGGCTGTATTAAAGTCAAAGGCATGGATTAAGAGGGA